AGAGAAGTGGTGAAGGTGGATGGTGTAAGATATGACAAAATAATAATAATTTATAAATCATCAACGGTTCATGGCGGAGGAGGGTGCAGGGAGGGAGGGGAAAAATTAGGAGCTTATACCAAGGGCCAAAGTAGAAAGCAAATGTTTTGAGAATGATGAGGGAAACAAATGTACAAAGTGCTTGACACAATGGATTATGTATGGACTGTGCTAAGAGTTGTACGAGCCCCCAATAAAATGATTTAAAAAAAAAGACTGAATGCTTCATCTCTGACATCTTAAACAGAAATATTCTACTTTCTGATTGCAACCTTTTTTCCCTTTCTTAAATATTCAATTACATTTACTCTATGATCTTCTAAAAATATATATGGTTTCCGAACTTGTATTTTTGCTTTCAATGTCCCTTCAACATTATTTCCTGCTTTCTTTAATCTAGCTTATCAGTTATCATTTCATTAACTCTACTGTTAGTTACTGACCCAAGTCGTGATATTTTTGATCCCTTCATAAGCAGGCTGAAGCTGGAGGGAATAAATAAGAAAGGCAGAAGAAAAAGGGATGCATTTGAATGATGGTGTTGTCAAAGAAACTGAACATACATACCATGGACTGCCAGGGGAAGGACCAAACCTCTTCTTGAAGAAGGAAGTAGAGACAGATGGTCCCTTAGAAAGCAGGATGGCGAGACTTCATGTCTCATAATTTGAACATGTTACCAGAGAGACTAGTCCTTGGAGAAGGACATCAACTTGAAAGAGTGGAGGATCAGTGAAAATGAGGAACACTCTCATGAAGAGGGACTGACATGGTGGAAGGGACAATGGGTTGAATCCTAACAATCGTGGGAATGGTACAGGACTGGGCAATGCTTTATACTGTTGTACATGGGTGCATACAAGGTGCAACTGATTCCGCAGCACCTAACAATGACTGTCCTGTTCTTTCTTTGATATTAGCAAATGCCTAATAACGTAAACTAATATTCAAACAATTGTTGCACAGGGACACAGGGATACAGAGTGAACGAGCTTCTGTAGAGATTAGAGGTAGACTGCGATCACTTTTACTTTGGAAGAACAGAACAGATGAATGAAAGAGTTGGTATTTAAACTGTGATTTGAAGGCTCCATAAACATCGGATATTGAGAAATTGAGCTTTCCCAGAGGAGGGGGTGATATTTAAATTAATAAAAAGAAAGAAAAAAAATTAGGGATTTCTGTCTGTTTTTCATATTTCATATAGTCCCTAGCTTTATTTATTGCTTTGTAGGTTGGGAATGTATAGTCCAGTTTTCTCTAAGTCAAATACATAGTCAACTTAATTATTGAAAGATAAAGACTAGTAAAATCATAGGAAACACTCTACTTGAAAATATGGAACATTTGATTCATGATTTTTTATCTAAAATGTAAATATCACCAAGGTCTGAGTTAACTCACAACTTCCTGCAGATAATAATAAAATATACTAAATGTCTTTGAACATATTAACCACGGTTATTATGGCAAGTAAGTAATCCTATTCATCTGGCAACAAACAACACTTGTCTAAGTACTTTACAGATTTTTGAGCAAAAGAAAATATAAGGAAGCACTATAAAATTAGCAAACATTGAAACTTAGGCATTCCCTAGATTAGAAAAGAGTTTGTCATTATTATGCCTTCTGAACTTAGGAATGCAGCAGTACAGGTTTATAACAACAGAGAAAAATCATTACTAAATACACACATAACCCCTACAAGTTTAAGATCCTTCCCTGATGAAACTGTTTAGAATTAAACTAATCAAGCTTTTGCAAATCAATTTGGCATTCAACACAGCAATAAGAAGGTATTAATGTCTTACTAATAACACTTAGTAAATTGTTAATTAAAATTTTTTTGTATTGTTATTCCTCTGTTGTGCCATTTCTTTTAATGTAAAGAGCTGTTGGTTATAAGTTTAATATCTACCCAGCCACCTAATAGTTCCCTGCTTATTACTGTGCCAAGGGAAACAAAAAGCCATGTGTCCTTTTTTTTAAACTTCTCAAAGTTTTCTAAGACTTAAAAGAAACAGATGAAACAGAAAAAAGAAAATCTATCACATGTCCTATATAAGGAAATTAAAGCTATAGCAATAATAAGTCTTCTAATCAAGAAAAAGAAAACTACTTGAAGGAGGGAGAGGGAAAAATAATGACATTATCACTAATTGTTAACATTAAATTGGTAAAATCAAAGTCAAAGTTAGAGCAAAAGTCATTAGCATATTTTAATCTACTTCTAAAATTAACAACATTATACATCATCTATGTCTTGGGTGATGGAAATCTGAGAGCCTGACTCAAAGCCTATGTCTCGCTACTTCGCAGTATGTACACAGTTGTCCTATTTCTAGATTTCTGGTAGAATGCGTCATCACTAGCTTTAGTGGTGGGTGCATAAATTTGAATAGTGGCAGTAATTGGATTTCAATGACTGTGAGTAAATATAATCCTATCATAGACATTATTGTGCTTCAAGACAGAAGTTGGAATGCACTTGTGACAAGGAATGCAATGTCTTTCTTCTTTACCATGTCCTTCCCAGAATAGTAAACCATATGATTCTCTGCTTCAAGACGGCCAATACTTGTCTAGCAATAGCAGCAAAGTTTCCAAAATGCTCATCCACGGAGGCTTCACCTAGTAAGTTATTATTTCAAACGGCATTTTCTGCATCACAGTAATGAAAAATATACAGGTGCTGTCCATCAGTGAATGTTTTCAAACAATTTTTTTTACGATGACCCACTAAAAGAATATATTTTACATATGGGAGTAAGTAAAAGAGTCTTGCAGTAAAGTCATAGAAAGCTTCATTAAACAAAGATAAAATTACGAAGCTGTTGCTTCTAACAGATCCTCCATCTGGGTCTATACACGTCTAAAGATGGTGTTCTCATCTCTCTAAGCCTTTCCTGACGAATTCTGTGTTCTTCGATTTATACCACCTCAAAATGGAAATTTTGTCACTCCGGAGGACTCAAATCCTGTTCTCGTAATGTCCTTTGAATTTTGGAGAAAAAAAAGGCAGTTTGAAAGGGTTGTGCTCAGGAGTAGATGGTGGATAGGGTAAGATTTTCTAAAGGAATTCTCGTTACCCTTAAAGAGAGAGCAAGTACCTTAGCATTATGGGGGAAAAAATCCTCAGTGTAACTTTCTTGGCCTTTATCTCGCCCATGCAATTTTCAATTTTCTTCATACTTCATAATAAGACTCCTTGACCATCCTATATTTTTCGAGAAAATCTATCAAGATTATCCCCTGGAGTCTCAAAAAAAAAAAAAAAAAAAGAGTCATAATCTTCTGACATCTCGACCTTGAATTTAACTGGCTCCGTAGATTCCCCCACCCCATTTTTTTTTAGATTCCCCTTTCTAACCACTATTGTGATTGGACCTTTCCTTGTGAGGATGTGAGAATGGGCCTGAGATAAGTGTATTAGTGAGAGAAATTGTGTGCAGTCGTCCACTAATCGCAGAGACATGTTTAAACACAGTTTACTTGGAATAAACCCATGCATTTTGAACGAAAACCCTAGTTGCTAAGTGTGGGAAAGTTGATTCAGATTCGTAATAATCTGTGTACAACAGAACTCAGCACTGTCCAGTCCGACGCCGACCTCATAATTGTTATGTTTGAGCCCATCACTGCAGCCACTGCGTCAATTCTTTTCTTTGAGGGACTGTCAGTTTCACGTTGACCCTCTACTTTACCAGCGTGAGGTTCTTTTCCAAGACCTGATCCTTCCTGACAGCATGTCCTAAGCAGTGGGATGAAGTCGCACCGTCTTTGCTTCCAAAGAGCATTCTGGACGTACTTCTTCCAAGACAGATTTGTTTGTTCCTCTGGAAGTCTACGGTACCTTTCAATAGTCTTCAACTAACACTTCAATTCAAATTCCTCACATCAAAATTCAATGTGCATGTGGTCTTCCTTATTCATTGGCACCCGGGTGGCTCCGGTGGTTATGAATTGAGCTTCAATCTGTGAGGTACGCAGTTCCAAACCACCTGTCACCAAGGGTGAGAGTTACAGGGGCAATTCTCCCCTCCTTGGCAGGGTCACTGAGTCAGAACTGCCTCAGCGGCAGTGAGTGAGTCCTTATTCACATGCATAGGAGGCACCTGTAGCTTTCACAAGCGCAGAGGCTATTAACCAAGGTTTGAATCAGGCTCATTCTAGTTTGTTCTTTAACACTTTAAATACTTCTTGGGTAGCAGATTTGCCCAAAGCAGTACATCTTTTGATTTCCTGACTGTTGCTTCCATGAATGTAGATAGTGGGTTCAAATAAAATGAAACTTTTGGCAACTTCAGTCTTTTCTCAATTTTTCATGAGGCTGTCCCTCGGTTTAGTTGTGAGAAGCAACACTTTTTTGTTTACCCTCCTATAACCAGATACACATCTTATCTTTCTTGTCCCACTCTTCATAAACAAATGGCAAAATTAAAACAGAAGTACTGCATCCAACATTGACCTTTATAACATGAGGCACACTTTGACATTTTCCATTTTACTGCTTTTTGTTAAAATATGACCGTTGTGACCTACAGAACAGTTGTGACCTACAGGAGCACAGGTCATTCCTTTAAAAACTTCTTGCAATAGGTGCAAAGCTGTTATCAGTGTTCATACATGATGTAAGAATGTATATATATACAATTTCAGAGGTTTCTAGATAGGCAAATAGTTCAACAGGAACATGAGCTACATATAGACAAGTGATAAAAATTACTTAAATGGTCTTAGTGCGATTGGAACAAAGCTTCCATGTATAAGATGGAAAGAAGGTAGAATAATGAATATCTTATGTCTACTTTATTTTAAAACTACAAAAATGTTCTAAGTGTGTATTATTGAATTTGTTTGAAGTACCCGTACTTATTTCCTCATACCCCATCATGAATTCAGGTAAAAATGCTTGTGAAACAAATTGCATTTCTTTCATGAGAGGCTAAAAATAATTTTACCTGTAATAAACTCGAAGTGTCTGAATTTCTTCTTCCAGTTTTTTGTATTGTTGAACTGCAATTTCTTTGGCTTGTTGCATAGATAATAACTTTGCCTGAAAGTAATTAATATTAAAAAATTAATATTAGTTCTGTTGTATATAGCACTACAGCATAGTTTTAAGTATTAAGTGCCTAGTAATTTTAAAATACATCAATATTTTTAGTAGTGTCTAATAATTTGCTATAAAATAATCCAACTATATCATTGAAACACTAAAGACATGAACACTTTAAATTTACCAATTGTGTTCCTTATTTATCTGTACCATCAGGTAGGTTTACATGCCCTTCTGCAATGTTTAACTTTATACACAGAATTCAGAATGTGGAACCTGGTTCAGAGCAATATCGAAAGCAGAGATAAAGCACAGTGGGTGTTTCACACACAAATTTAATGTGGCTCCATTGCTTAATCACACTAGATTTTCTTTTAACTTTATTAATAGAACTAGGAAAATTCTAAATATGTTGTCAGGCCATCTTCCATATTTCATATTAAAAAAATCACAAGATTACAATCCAATTCTTACAGATATGATTTAACCTTTTCAATTCTTTTTCAGTAAAGATACAAAGAAAACCCTACAGGAAGAACATTAGAAACCTTGAATGCAAGAGATATTAAATTCAATCAAAGTACTGCCTCTCCTTGATTATGATATACCAATTTTAAAGAGTCTATCAGTATTTTTTGATGGAGCTTCATTTCGATGGGCATTAGTTAACCAGTACTGCTGGAACACAAGTACCAAAAATGGGTGGCTTTAAAGAACAAGCCTTTCTTTTGTTATGTTTCTAGAAGCTAACGTCCAAATCAGGGTCTCAATTTTGTTAATTCCTTCTTTGTTAGCTTCCCTGGCTTTTATCTGAGCATCGCATGGTGTCTATCTTCTCCCACCTTTGTGTCTGTTTCTAGGATGGTCTTATAAAATGAAGAAGTGAGCTTAGGATTCACCCTACACGCGCATAAACTCATGGGGGTAACAAACACCCACTGGGATGTTGTTGTGTCCTGGAGTAGTTTGATTCGAGGCAGCCATACATGCCACAAAACCCAACACTGCTCTGCCCGGGTCCCGCAAGGTTTTCTGATGTTTGAAGCCACCGTTGCAGCCACTATGCCCAACCATCTCATCAAGGGTCTTCCCGTCTTCACGCATATTTTGGCAGCTTAATTCAATCATAAGAGTAGCAATTTAAAAAGAATTTACCAATTTTCATCCTCATTTTCAACTTTAAAATCATGGTGGTGGTTATGTTACATATGTTTTGTGCATGTCAAGTCTAGTCCATGAAAAGGTTGTCTTAAAAATTTTTTTTTAAATTTAAAAAAAAAGAAAAGGTTGTCTTTCCTTTAATGCGGTTCTCAGTAATAAAATGGAGTAGATTATTGTCACAACCTCAACAACGAAAAAATACCCATAACTAGAAAGTATTTGAAAGTTCAGAGGCAGAAGTTCCCTCATTTTTTTGAGCGCATGTGATTTCACTGCTTAAGAATGGGATAACAAGACAAATGTTAATATCCTGATTATTAAAAAAATTCTTGTACTATACATATTAGGTAATGCTATTTTACTATTTTAATAATGGAGAATAAATCCACTGTGATTAATGGCAAGTCAACAACAACAAAAACAAATGCCAAATGACTCATTACATTCAGTTGACAAAATGTTAGACATCCTTTTCTTCTTATTTAAGGAATATAAAATAATGAGAGGTTAAAAGAGAGTTAGCCTAAGTAATGTATGCAAGTGCTAATTACCTAGCTTTAAATTTTAAACACATTTTGCATCAGATTTAAAAGCCAAGCAAAAAACCACCATTCACCTCAATGCATATCTCACACTCATTAGTCCCATTTCTTCCCTCTCATCCTAGCAAAAAGTAAACTATTCCCATGATTTTGGGCTTATCATTTTCAAGACTATTTTATACTATATTTTAATTATAATAATTACTATAAGAACACAAAACAATATTTCATAATACAGTATCTTTTACTACATAGTTATATGTTATAATAACAAATAATAAATGATCATATTGTTTACAAGTTTATAAGCACTTGGATTCTTTTCAATTTTGACAATTATTAATAGCTGTTCTAAATATGCATATTAATAGCTGTTCTAAATATGCATATAGGTCAATGTGTGGAACTATACTGCCATTAGATGTGGGCAAGTATTTAGGAATGGGATTGCTGGGTGGTATATTTGTGTTTGTGCTTGACTTTATAAGTGACAATCCATTGCCTAAATTGCTATAAGCTATACCTGTGCTTTAGCACAATAGCAAATGCCACTTTTGAATTTCTTTTGTGTGTTGGTTATCTGTGAAGTAGTTCCTATTATCCCTATTTTAGAGCTGTCAAAACCAAGTCTTGTGGACAGTAAATAAAGCCAGTGACTGATAAAACAGATACAAATTCAGATCTGTCTGGTTCAACATACATATTTCCCACTTATGCCACATTGGTTCCCCACAACATTCTGGGTATTTAAAAAAAAATCTATGATACTTTCTGTCAATTTGGCTGAGCTGGGTTCTCAGTGATTCAGCAGTTAGGGCCTATCAATTCCCCACGATGTGATCAAATACAATGTAGTCAATTCCATAACAGGATTTGCTATGAGCAGCCAAACAGTTATTAAAAAAATTAAGGTGAAATGCAATTCTCTTAGTTAGGTAACAACTGTACTGCAATGGAAAGGATGTATCAGTGGAGGTGTGCTCTACTTCCTGTGAAAGTGGACTCTATGGAAAGCTCGCTTGCTGTTTAAAGTGTCTGAATCCTGCATCGAGTCCATCAACCTTTGTTTCTTTGGACTGGAGCCAATAGCCTGCCATATTCCCTGATGACCCCAGGGTCCATCTATCTGACCTACTACCTGAACTCTTGACCTTGGATTCATGTGTTCTCTAGTCATCATCCTGATCTTCAGACCTTAAAGTCACTTGTCTCTGCAATCACGTCTGTGGTCTTCCTGCTGGTTCTGGGTTCATCAGCCCCAACGCTATAGCGATTTCTCTCTATAGATGCATATTAAAATGTCACTGAAACTAACTAGCGAAAGGTGTCGATTTTCTTCTCAAGAACCCGTGACTGGTGATAAAAAGAATGGGTTCAGGTTCACAAATAATTGCTTTATTTATAAATGTCACAACCATAATTTCAAGAGAAAGGATAACAGATAGGTACCAAATATTCTTTAGCACTTTGGGCTTTAATATATTACTTAAGAACTTGGACATATTATTTCAGTTTCTGTTCTTTACTCAAACTCCCCCTGAACTCCATCTCAATACCTGCTTTGCAAGACACATGGACAATAAACTGCATGGTGTACTTCTCATAATTGTCTGCATCATTTGCATTTGTATTTGAGCTACTTAATGTCAGAGCATGAAAAAGTCTTGTGTTGAAAATCATGTATGTATTTGGCCTTAGTAACATGGACACGTGGAAAAGTATGACCGTAGTAGTCTTAGTTGTATCTTCTGCTTGAAAATATCATATCCTAACTCTGTTGCTAGTTTGCTTCTCTCTAACAGTATTAACAACACAGATTTTATTCTCATATCTCAATCAAAATATGTCTATGAAACATTTGTCTTCTTACTAAAATATGTTCCCCTAAGGCTCCTGATTTTGTTTCAATAATATGTATATTCTTAATTACACTTTTACAAACTCTCTAAACACATCTTAAAATATATTACCAAATTTCACAAAATGGTGTTGCGTTCTGTTGTACACAGGGTCTCTATCTCTGTACACTGGCACCTGACAACAACATAGGTCACAATGTCAGGAATGACAAGTTCAAAAAGAATGCTATCACATTCATTGTCCAAAGAACATCGGAAGATTTTTCATGAACTATAATGCTGACTGTTATAGGATAATATCCATCATGCATGTAAAGAAGTCCAGTTAATATAACTATTATTCAATTTCACACACCAACCACTAAAGCAAATGATCCAGAAACTGAAGAATTCTATCCGCTTCTTTGGTCTAAATTGATCAAACAGGCAACTAAGTAAGATGCATTGAAAATTACTGATGATTGCAATGCAAAAGTTGGTGGAAACAAAGAGGAAGGGTCACTAGTCGGAAAACATTGCCTTAGTGATAGAAACAATGATGGAAAAGATAAAATTTTGCAAAACTAACAACTTCTTCATACCACACACCTTTTTCTCAACAATATAAACAGCAACTATACCTATGGACCTCACCAGATGGTATACACAGGAATCAAACTCACTACAGCTATGGAAGAGATGATGGAGAAGCTTATTAACAAAAGCCCAAATAAGGTCAGAAGCCCACTGTGGAACAGACCAATAATTGCTATTTTTGTGAAGCTGAAAAAAACTAAAGCAAGTCCACAGAGACAAAATGTGTATATGACCCCTCATAAACATAGATGCAAAAATCCTCAACTAAATATTGGCCAATAATCAACAATATATCAAAAAATAATATGAACCAGAATGTTTCAATAGAAGAAAAACAATCGATGTAATTCACCACACAAACCACATCAATCAAGGCAGAAAAAGGCATTTGCTCATATCCCAAACTCATTCCTGATTAAAAAAAACACACTGCAAAACAGGAAGAGAAGGGACCTTTTCCAAAACAATAAAGGTTTTTACGGGCACAACTAACATCTCATTCAACAGGGAGAAACTGAAAGCGGATGGAAACCAACAGGGCCATGTCTTATCTACAGTCTTACTCAACACTGGGCTCCACGTCCAAGACAGCCAACAGACAACAGGAAGGAACCAAAGGAATCTCGATTGGCCAAGAAGCAGTGATGTTTTCATTCTTTTTAGAAGATATCAATGATGGTTCACATAGAAATCCCCAAAGCTAGGCAAAAATATTGTTGGAAACAATCCAAAGATTCAGAAACATGGCAGGATACAAGACCAACATATCAAAAAAAGATAAAAATCAGATTTCTGTAGACTAACTGGTGGTGTAGTGGTTCTGCATTGAGCTTTAATTTGCTTGGTCAGCAGTTTGAAA